ACCTGCAGTCTCAAATGACTGTCTTTTGCCACTTTCGGTATCTGCATATAAACTGCCTTCCTAATATACTACCTAGAACCATTTTGCTCTTTTCCTTCCCTTTTTTGCATTTCTCAGTTCTTTGTGTTGCGTTTATTAACCAATCTACACCCTGTGGATTCTAATTTGAGTGTATTCTCACTAATCTCACCTCATACTGATGCCTTCTCAGCCAAGTGTACATTATCTCTTTAGTGAGTTTGATAGCTGTAGATTAGAAACTGGTTAAAGGTTTAATTTAGTACCCTACAGTGTAATCCTAAACAGAGTTGCACCTTTCAAAGCCCACTGATGTCAACAGATTTAGAAGACTGGAACTGTTTATGATTGCAGTGCCAGTTGGATTGCTTCCTCATAATACATAACGGTTCTGCCTTTTAGTTTAAAAGAAGCATATATGTGTGGGTGGGTGGGTGTAATATAATGTCTGTAAAGATGGATTATGCTGATTTCCATCCAGTTCAGTTAAATAAGCAACCCCCAAGCCCCCAACAAGCTGCTGGTGCATCACAAATAACTTAGTTTTTATATTTTAGGTTCAAACTGTTTACTAAGCATTAAGTGGGGGAGAAAAGTTCTCTGACCAAGGTGGCGCCACAGTCCCCTTGAGTTTAACCTCCTTCCTTCGTCTGTTTACTCAAACATGGTGGAGACAACTACAGCTGCAGTCAATCAAGTGAAAGGGATATAGGAGCGATTTACTGGGATGTGCCGTTTGGTAAATCACCCTCTCCTTTTTAGCAATGCATCCCCTCAGCGTATGGAGAAGAAGTTAGTAAGTCAGAGGCATAACAATCCACCAAAGCAGAATCCGGCTGGAGCTTAAAGAGTATCTTTACTAAAACAAGAAATGCAATGTAAAGGGCTTGTGGGGGGAGGTGTGATCATAACAATGTCAGCCGCTGTGAGTGTTGTAGACCACAAGCACAAGCAGATGAGGCTGTGGGATGGTGGGTTGAGTGAAGGGAGGCATAAAAAAGGAGGATATCAGACAAGGGATAATGAAAGTCTTAAATCTGTATTCCCTAGTTGTAATCAGACTTACATCTCCAGAGATCATGCCGGTTAAGCTCCCCCTATGTTCCTACAAGGGCAAAACATCCCACAAGCAGCACTGGGTACTCTTGTGGAACTCTAGAAATGTCCCCTGAATTTCCTTGATGATGGAATTTATAGTGGCTGGGCCAGTGGTCACCTCCCAACTGAGACTGAGGAAGGAACTTTGATGGACAGTTATTTCTCACTAGAAGGGCCACGGAGCCTGGGTGGGACTTTTATCCCTTCTCAGACAAACAAGCATCTTTCTTCATTATGCAGAGACTGCTCACAAACTGGAGGTTCTGCAGTGAGGTTGAAAGGATTTGAAGAGTTCACACATGAAAGGGAAAACTGTATGAAGTAGGGGGATTATTGGCTGTTAAGAAGAAATTTTTTTTTTCCACTTGTGCTGTGATTTCCATTACTGAAACTGTATACATGCAGCCTATAAAAGTTGTGAAAATCAATGGTCTGGTAATACCAGCAGGTGTATTGCAGTGGGCTCTTCTGAACTTACTCTCTTATGTGGGGACCGCTCTCCAACTCTTGCTCTAACCTACACCGCAGAGTTGTTGTGACAATAAAATGAAGGAGCAGATAGTCAGGTATTCTGCCCTGAGCATTTTGGCAGAAGGGTGGGATAAAAATGTAAGAGATAATTAAATAATCTTACTCTGCTTCTGAGAATGAAAGTAAAGGATAGTTATACCTTGATGGCTTTTCTATTAGAAAGTCAGTGTGCAATTATAATGAAGTCTCTCTATCCCACACTCTTAAAGTTCAAATCTTTGCTTAGCCACAGAAGTCACTGTGCCTCAGGCTGTTCTGAGAATTAACTGTGATGATCTCATGTATGCCATCCTGACCTAACTGGAGAAGGGTGGTATAGAAATCTGGTCTGGCAAACAAGTGAAATTGATTTCTCAGATGATGTTACCAACCTCCAGGTGGGGCCTGGAGCTCTCCTGGAATTGCATCTCCAGACTACACAGACCAGTTCCTGTAGAGAATATGGCAGCATTGGAAGTGGATTTTATGGTATCATTTTCTTAACGAGCTCTCTCCCTTACTCAGATCTGGATTTTCCCATCCATATGGTAGCCATTTTCCCTGACCTGTCCCTTCAACCACTGTTGATTCCACCCACCACTGGCAGTGGCTCTCCAGGGCCTTTCAGATTACCTCCTGTCTGAAGCCTTAAACTGGAACTTTCAAGAATTCAACCTGAGCCCATCTGAATGTAAAGCCTTGTACTGAGCAATGGCCACTCCCCTAAGCCAGAGTTTAGCAAGTCTGGTGTAGTGATTAAGTGTGCGGTCTCTATTCTGGGAGAACTGGGTTTGATTCCTCGTTGCACCTGCTGGATGACCTTGGGCAAGCCATAGTTCTGGCACAGCTGTTCTTGAAAAAGAGCAGTTTTTGTCAGAGCTCTCTCAGCCCCACCTACCTCACAGGGTGTCTGTTGTGGGGAGGGGAAGGGAAAGGAGTTTGTAAGCTGCTCTGAGACTCCTTTGGGTAGTGAGGGTTAGGGTATAAATCCATCCTCTTCCTCCTCCTCTTCTTAAATCTTGATTGCAATCAGTTGGTTTTTCTTCAAAGTAATTGTTGTTAGGATCATGGTGCAAGTCGTTCGGTGGGTTGCTGACACATTTGAATGCACTAATCCTGACATATATTGATGGTTGACAAATGAGTAGTCTGATTTTATGCATGTTCACTCAAAAAAAAGAACCCCACTTTTGTTCAATGTGACTTACCTTTAAATGAATACAGATCTATAACATTGTAAAATATATGCTTAGAAATAATGTGGTACAAATAACCTCTGAAATAAAGTTTTGAGGCATGCATATTGTTTCAGAAATATACTTAAGGCCCCTGGTAGGTATTTTATTTAATAAACACAGCTGCTAACCAGCTAGTATGTTATTCGTTTGTCCAAACTTTTACCATATTTTTCTTTGTTGGAGGAAAAGCCACTAATCAGAGGAAGGCTCCTTGGAAGATACTTTGATTCCACCCCTTGTATTTGAGAAACACAATGGTCAAGGAAGGCTGAGTAGCCCACACCAGTCCAAGCTTGTTAGTCTCTGGAAGCTAAGCCGGGTCAGCCATGGTTAGGACATGGATGGGTAACCACCAATAGGAAACTACCTCTGCTTATCTCTTGCTTTGAAACCCCATGAGAGATTGTCATATGTTCGTTGTGACTTGAGGGCACTGTTATAATTTTCTTTTTTTAAAAATCCTCTCTGTGAAATGACACATCAAACAGTGGCTCTCAAACAGCCAGGTTCCAACATTTTGAAGAGGATGCTCAGCTAATCTACATGGCCAGCAAAGACCCACGGTTCAGCCCTCAAGTACAACTGGTACTAAACTTTGTGTATTATACCGGTTCAAGTCTTGAGAGGCAAAATTGGCTGGAACAAAATCACAGAGTACCCAAAATTCCACAACACAGGGTGCAAGCTTTAGATTTTGCAAGTTTAAAAGATTTTTAAAAAGAGTGGGAGGGGGAGATTAAAAATTTAGATGTTTCAGGCTATGATCTTTAGGCTAATGGTCTGGGGCTTCCTGCTGAATATAACAGTGAGAGGTATAGCCAGTGACACGCACTGTAATGTTCAGAATGGCAGGCTAGGATCTGGGAGATCCAGGTTCAAATCCCCCCCCCCTGCAGTTAGGACAGCTCACTTGGGTGACCATGGGCCAGTCACTCTCTCTCACTCTCAGCCTAGCCTACTTCTCAGGTTCCTGGTGGTTGTGAGCTGCTGTAAGCCACTTTGAGTCCCAACCAGGGGAAAAGTGAGGTATAACTAAACAACTGAATAAATGAACATTGTAGCAAGGCCAGATGCACTGAAAAAGTGTGTATACACACGAAAGCTCATACCTTGGCTTGAATAAACCTTTGTTGGTCTTAAAGGTGCCACTGGACCCTAAATGTGTCCTACTGCGTCAGGCCGACAGGGCTGGCCACCTGGAACTATCTGCATCAAATAATACATGAGCTGTCCCCTCAGTTTTTCCTATTTCATATGAAACAAACCTATCCAAGAGTAAAGCATCGGCATGCTTATGGTGCACTGGAGAAAGGGTCAAGGCTAGGGTTGCCTGCTCCAGGTTGGGAAATTCCTGGAGATTCTGGGGATGGGTCCCGGGAAGGGCGGGGTTTGGGGACAGCAGTGGCCTCAGTGGCGTCTCGTGCCATCGAGTCCCCCCTCCAACGCAGCTATCTTCTCCAGGGAGAACTGGTCTTGTTGTCTGGAGGTCAGCTGTGATTCCAGGAGCTCTCCAACCCGCCCCCGGAGGTTGGCAATCCTAGTCTGGGCTTGGGTTTACAAAGAGGCGCTATCCCTCCCCCCCCCCCAAACAGCAACTCCACTTTTCTAAAGTTTACCCAGCCCAGGCACACACACCCCGCCCACATGTGACCTTCACGACAGAGGACAGACTCCCAGCGGTGCCATTCCACGGGGTTCCCTCCCCCCCTCCCCAAGCGACCCAGAAAGAGGCGGGGCCGAAGGAGGAAAGTCTCCCCCACCGGGCGGCCAGGTCGAGGGGCGCCCAACGAATCTCACGCTTTCCTGCCCCGGCCCCTTCTTCCCTGCGCTCCGAAGTCCAGAGGAACCTGCTATTGTCCCGGCTGCATGCCCGCCAGCGGTCCCGAGCAGGAGTGCCAGGCGCTCCCAGTAGGTGCCTCACCGGTGCCGCCTCCTCAGCAACTGGCCGCAAATAAAACAGCGCGGCGGCAGCTGGGACGGCGGGAACAAGCCGCGCGCGGGGGAAGGGGAGTCCGGACACGTGTGCAGCGGGAGTGGTGTGTGCACGCGCGCCGTCTGACAAATCCGTACGTCTTGGTCTAGGAGACACGTGGCCGGTGGGTGGGTGGGGGGAGTGAGATCTTGAGAACTGGGAAGTTCGGTGTGTAGGCACTTCAGCAGTGAGTTGCTTTTGGCGGCCGGCTCTCCGGACGTATGACAGTTGCGGTGAAAGGTACACTTTTCCGATTGTAAAGTAACGTCTATTTAGAAGCTGACCTTTCAAAGAACGGATTGCTTGACAGGGAGGGATTCGGCCTTCGGGCGGCGTCCTACTTTGTCTCCCTCGGTGTCCAGTTCGTGCACATAAAACGAGGCTCTGTGAAACTCTGGAGGGTATGTATCCAGGGATCTATGTTCTGTTGGTTATAGGTATGACAAAGGACCTGGAGCCTGCGTACTTTCTGCTGATGGTCGAGTACCAAGGAAAGCCCTGTAGCATATTCTATTTCTTTTTAAAAAATTGTTCCGTAACATTTGAAATAGTACACAACAGGGCTTTCTTAGTGGTAGTGCCATTCCTCTGGAACTCCCTTTCAAGGGAGTTCTTCATGGCCCCTTCCTTGTACACTTTTGGCTCCTGACCTCCCTCCCCCAGCGTTGGTTGTGACAGTTGCCGAGTTAGCATTTATCTGTGCAAAGGAAAGTAGCATTTTTATTGTGTTGTTAATGTAATACACCTGTTCTCATTATTTCTTTGCACATCAACTGTTTACCGTCATCTGGGCTGGAAAATCTTGTACAGAAACAACTAAATAGTCTGTGTAGGCCAGCGTGCTGAATGCTGTCTTTATTGCACAGAAATATGAGCTTGCTGAGCAATAGGTGCCATGAGTGCTGCACAAAGAAATCTGTTTTGTAAATGGTACAACATGAGTGCGTTTGCTTTCTGTCATGTTTTATATGTTCGTTTTATGTTTTGTGTACTGTCATAATACTTTTGTGTCTATATTTATGATTTGCTGTGTAGTATGTCTGTCTGGTGCATATGTTATGTAGTGCATACATGCTGTATATGCAAAATTCCTGTGTAGTATATGCATTTATTGTGTGTATGTATTTGTATGTGTCTGTCTGTCTGTCTGTCTGTCTATCTATCATCTCTATCTGAACAGCTTTGCAACTTTCAATGTTCCCTTTTTCTGCACTCTATATTCCCCGTGTGGAAAATCTGCTCTGCATACGGCCTTTGTGTCAACATTTGTCAATATTTGCTTGTTTTGCAATAGTGTCATAAGAAAGAAACATTGCAATGGTATCCGTTGCCAAGTATGCCAAAGAATTTTGGGGTTTTAACCACAACTTGAGAAACTTTCTTTTTTTTGTTACTCATATCTTTTTTTTTTAAATGTTCTACAGTCCTCTAAAAACTGCTTTTTTAATTGACTGAGTTTTGGTATTCTAACATCTTCAGTTACCAAATATGTTAAACAAGAAGGGTTCAGGCAACTAACAAATTACATGGATTTCAGCAAATTTAGAAGGGTGCAGTTCTGCACAGGATTACAATCAATGTACTCGGGACATGTAGTTTGTATTATACATGTGTGAGAGGCTGGGAGGTTTGCAGTCAGGTCTTCCCTGATAGAGGTGTGGAGAGGCATTTTTAAATCTTCTCACCTGATGCTTTTATATAGCCCTTTAAATTAAGAAAAAGTAGAGAATCTGCCTTTTTCCTTTTTAAATGATTCATGACATAACAGTTGAGCTGGTTCCAGTTACTGAAAATATGTGGGGATGGAAGGGTTAAACTTCTTCTCTTCTTTATTGTTCCAGTCTGAGTTGGGCTGTGTAAGACTGTCAGTTCCTTTTAAAAGATCTGTTATCTACATCGTGTTTTTACTTTCCACCCCTGAAAGGCACCCCATACTTTTATAACTGACTTAAAAGTTTTAAAAAGTTTTTAAAACCCTGACTTCAAATGTACACTTCATTAGAAATAGGAAGGAGTGTTGTACATATATGCCCTTCTTGCTATAGGTGTGCATTCAGCTTCTGTGTATCTCTTTGTGTCATTTGTATATCTGTTTTCTCCTGTGTACCATGAATATGCATTCCATGCAAGGAGCTTTTTTTTTTTAAGCTTGTGTTCAGAATTTTGTATCAGTTGTGGGTTCTGCTCCATATAATATTTTGCTATCTATGGCACAAGTGTTCTGCAACTTCTGTACTGTAGACTAGCATGCTTGTATGAGCTTACAGATGCACATGCTGATGCTCTGTGTGCATTCTATATGTTACAGAAAAGAAACCTGTGCATCAGGTTTGCTGTAGGTGCGTATGTTTTTCCTTTTATGTAGCATGAATATAATGTTAAAGATAGCCACCCACTTCCCCACAGTTTAGTAGTTTTACATAAAGGGGGAGAAAAAAGCACAAGCAAATCATACTTTGGGCCATTCAGAATAGTTTTCCTGGTGGTTAAAAGCAGTTTGTTTTGAAGCATGGCATAACATGGTTGTATACATGTTTCCCGTGCATTCCATACACTATTAAATGTATTTGTCGGTTACAGACAACAGACGGCCCCGGGGCCGGCCCCAGCTTATTTTGTACCCTAGGCGAGGATCCCTTCTGGCACCCCCCCCCAGTGCGCCCACCAATTTTCAAGGCTGGGAGGGTGGGGTGTGGAGGGAGGGGCCCTGCACTGGTGCCAACCTCCAGCCGGGGCCTGGAGACCTCCCTGAATCACGACCGCTTTCCAGAAGAAAGGGGCCGCTTGGGGAGGGTGGGAATGGGGGACGTTCTGCCCCGCGGAGCTCCCTCCCCTCCCCACCACCTCCCACAGATCTCTGGGAAATCTCCAAACTGTTTAACCCGTGCATTTGCAACGGCCGGCGCACTTGCTTCGCTCCGTGCCACCGCCAGTCCTGCTATCCCGAGGCAGGAGGAAAGGGAAAGCCCAGCAGGATGTCCTGCTGCAGCTGCAGGGAGAGAGGTGAGATTGAGATGCTGCTGCCACTGCTGCGCCCTGGCTGGAGGTGAGCGCATGCCATGGGGGAGCCTCCCTCCATGCGCCCCAGCGATGTTCCCGGCCCGCAAGGCCCGCGAGGCCGCACAGCCAGGTGGAGCCACGCCAAGCCTGGAGGCCCCTCCGCCGGCACCGCTGGTGCCTGTGGCCGAGCTGAGCGACACCGAGCTGGGCGGTTGCAGCAAAGAGGAACTAGTGTGCTGCCTGCGCCTCTTGGGAGAGCGGCGGTGGCAGGAGGGGCGAGGAGGGCTGGCCTCCTCTTGCCCCCACCAGCCCTGGTGCTGAGCAGGAGGACTCTCCCGTGCAGCAAGGAAGGGAGGGAGGGCATGCAGGCCCCTGGCCCGACGCCCCCATGATGGCCCTGCGCTCTAGATGAAAGTGTAGTTTGCCTACTGAGCGACCCGGCCCTGGACGGGACTCACACATTTTGCATATGTTTTCCATAATTGATGCTTTTGTGCAATAATTCTAAACAAATCTGCATTCTTTGGGGTATGAGGTGTGAGTGCATTTGTGTGTGGGAACCATATTTATTTTCTCACCAAATAATGACAATGCTAGAACACGTACAAGTCCTCTAAAGTCAAAGTTTTTTCCTGAGAGGGCTTGGTGTGATCTTGGAAGCTCAGCAAGGTCAGCCGTGGTCACTAGTTGGATTGGAGACCACCAAGGAATACCTGGATTGATATGCAGAGGCAGGCAATGGCAAACCACTTCTAAATGTCTCTTGCCTTGAAGACCTCATGGAGGTCACTGTAAGGACTGCAATTTGACGGTAAAACAAAAACAAAAATTGGCATGTCAGATGAGTCTCACATTTATTTATTGCAAAACATATTATTCTCTTGCTAGAAAGTGATTATTTGTAGTAAAATTTGCAATACATGTGACCTTCTGGTGAAATTTGCATGACTCTTTAGATGAGGGTATGAAAAAACATCAATCCAAAGTGGAAGAAACCCTTGGGAAAAGTAGATGGATTGAATTGAATTGCTGTCTCATTTATATGTGTAGTCAGTCACCTTTGTTCAAGAGCAGTTGCCTAGAGACACAGAACTGGGAGTTATGTGGCCTTTGGGTCTTAACTTAAGTTATAACCACCATTGAAGTTAATTAAACCAACTACCAACTACTAAGCTATCAGCTACTAAACTACCATCAGAAATTTAGAACTGGTTTCTGTATGTTATATTAACGCAAAGTTTAATATGAGGTACACAAAAAACAATCTGGATGTGTATTAGATTAATATGGTTGCCAATTCTGGTCTGGGGAATTGCTGGAGATTTTTTTTGGGGGGGAGTAGGGGCCCCTGCCCCGAAAAGCCTAAAGTGCCACCCCCAATGCTGCCTTTTGCGTGGTCCCTTTTGCTTCTCCCTAGGGTAGCGAAAAAGACCACTCAAATGGCTGCCAGCCATTTCAAGGCCAGTTTCACTCCTCCCCGCTTCTAATCGGGGAGGAGGGGGGAAACTGATCACTGAAAAGGCTTGCAAGCCTTTTCAGTGATAAGTTTTGCTCCCCCCCCCATTTAGAAGGTGGGGGGAGCAAAACTGACTATGAAATGGCTGTGTCGGGGGTGGAACATCCATTTTTTGGCCACTTCTGGAAATCTCCAGGCACCACTAGAAGGCTGGCAACTCTGCCTGAGTTTTGCTGCTGATTTTCCTGAGGGTTGCATTTTAAAGATTTGCTCATATGACAAATTTCAGCATCTAGATAAAGAGTTCATATATTGCATAGGTCATTGGTTTGCCGTCATTATGGGGTTCATTCCCCAAATATTCTCAGATGTTGGCAAGGTATTTTAATAATATAATAGGTCATGAGAATTACACAGAGTGTAATATAAGCCTTATGTAACTATAAGGCTTCTTTGAGATGACCATATTTGAACACATGAGTACATGAAGCTACCTTATACTGAATCAGTCCATCAAATTCAGCATTGTCTACTCGAGACTGGCAGCAGCTCTCCAGGATCTCAGGCTGAGGTCTTTCACATCATCTACTGCCAGGTTCTTTAAACTGGAGATGCCAGGGATTGAACCTGGAACTTTCTGCATGCCAAGCAGATGCTCTGTAACTGAGCCACAGCCCTCCCCTTATTTGACCATGTCTATCCTGAATGTAGTATACAAAGGCATGTTAATGTTAGGATCCCGGTTTTTGAGTCCACTGAAATAAACTAGACATGTTTACAACAAAATGATTTTATGATTGCTAGAAATATCTATTATGTCTATTGCAAAAGCGTCAGGAGTTTAAAAATCTTACTGCTGAGTAGAGAAATGAATTAAAAAAAGGAAAAGGAAGAATAATGTGTGTGAAAGACTCTGACTGAACTTCCTGTGTGAATGTGATACAACCTGATTTCGGGTGTACACTTTGTCTTTCAGGGTTTCCAGAGATATCCTTTCGGGGACTTAATTTTGCCCTGACATGCCTCCTACAGCAGTCACAAGAATAAATTATACCCCTCCAGATGGTGGATGGGGATGGGCAGTGGTATTTGGAGCATTCGTATCCATTGGATTTTCATATGCTTTCCCTAAAGGTATAGCAATATTTTACAAAGAAATCCAGGATTTCTTTGACACATCGTACGGTGAGATTGCATGGGTTTCTTCAATTATGTTGGCTACTACCTATGGTGGAGGTAAGTAAAACAAAACTCTGCTTTGTTGCACTTTCTATTAGGAGTGTACTGCATGTATCTCCCTATTAAGGTTACAATCCTAAACACATTTTTATAAGAATATGCTATTGAAAGAGTCAGAGCTTACTTTGATGTAAATATGCTTAGGGTCAGGGTTTGAATACAAAAGCCAGTTAATCACACAAGTAAATATTATTCAAATGTATCTTTTAAGGTTGTGAAAGATGCCCTTGGATAGTCATGATTCAGAGATTTGTTTTGTTGTTGGAACTATGCTGGTAGGATAGCTAACTAGTGGACTGTACAGAATGCTAAACAGCAATAAGAAAAGTCAAGGCAGTAGGTACGGAAGACTGGTTTTATATAATTAGGGGAAGCAAAGGTTTCAGTGGTACTCCTAGAATGCTTTTACCACGTCTCACTGCATACATGCATGTTTATATAAATAAAATAAAATGTTTACTTTTGGGGTAAATCCTCAATTTATAAATAACTGGTATGTGTCATTGATAACATGTATCAGGAGTTTGTGTGCTCCCTTGGGACAGTATAATGCTTCAATCTAGGACAAAATATGTTCCAGTGTTTGTTCTCAATGTGGAAAATGAGAATGATAACAGAGCCATCATGAGGATGATGGAGATGATCATTTGTAAAGCTTTTTGCACAAACAAAGCTCCATATGAATTAACAATGAGGCCAGCCCTTGAAAATACTGAGAGTGGTGTTAAAGCATTCAAACTGCATGCTTGCAAGACTGAATAATTCTTATTTCTAGAATCTGGGATTTCACTTGCGGAATTTGTAGAAATGGCAGTCGCTTTTCAAATGACAAATGATGAAATGTCCCTGGAATGACTAATAGCATCAACAATCCTTTTCTGGACTTCTCTAAGGTGGTTTCTGCAGTCACTTAATAGTGAGATCCAGATTGAGGGTGGTCCTCTGCAACCTGCTTTTAGCAATCTAAAAAGCTGAGTTGGCTTAACATGTCATGATGAGAGAGATCCCAGTGCATATCAGATCCATTCACAGAATCATTGTCACTTGAATCTTACCACCAGATGACTTTGTGTATCCCTTTGTGGAGCGCAGGATGTGTCTATGAGTCTTTTGTATAGATACTGCTTATATCATACAGAATAAAGCCTGATTTAAATGTCACGCACAGGAAAAGAGCTGGCCTGTGTAACTTTGCATGGACTTGGGCGTCTCATTTAAACCGTTGTACAACCTGTGTAAAGCAGCTGTATGTGCTTAGTTTGCATCCCAGCACAATATCCACAAGATCTCTGGATCTCTGGTGTGCAAGTTAAGCACATGTATCTGTTTTGCATTGGTTGCAGCACAGTTCAAATGTCCAGAGTTGCACGGAGCAAGATTTTAGTTTTCCAGGGTTACATTACATTCACCAGAATGCTGTATTAAACTTTTATGCAACACTATGTATGCTAGTGTCCCATTGCAAGATTGTGAAACCGATTACAGTCTACCCAACATGCATCTGTTTCAGTACATTTCCCTGCTCGCTTTTGGTGTACTGGAGCATTTATTATTTTTGAGGACTCTTTTAGTCTTTCACGATAGGCTACTTGGTTTTTTTGCAATAGAAAAACTGCAAGATGTATGCAGGTACATTCTTACAGATATGGGTATGCTTAAACACATTCATTATGAAGCCCAAGATCCTTAAAATCCACTTTAGTTTTAGCTATGTCATTTGATTGATTTAAGAGACCTTGGTAAAGCAACGGGCTACTGGTTCATTTGCGACTATGGAGTTAATGTTTGATTATACCAGCACATGTTTGATTAAAGAGATTGTTATAACACTCTGCAGCAATTTGGGTTAAAAGCAGAAATCCAGGATAATATAACTATGTAGGCATAAGGCTATTGCATGTGTGTGGAGCATATAAAGCAGAAATATGTAGTTTAAAGTCCATAAAGCAGTGACTTGAATCTGCCCCTTTAAATAAGGATTCCTTATGTTGGTCTAATGAGAGTTCAAAGCCCAGGTAAGGCAGAACTTCTGTGTCCATGAATGATTTCTTTCCTGTCACAGGGGCCGGGCAACACATGTTAGGTGGGCATGGAGGGTCATGCATGCACTCAGTCCTTTTCCTGTTCTCTAGTAGGGGCCTGCCCTGGCTGTAGGGATGCCAGCCTCCAGATGGGACCTGGGGATCCCCCGGAATTACAGCTCATCTCCAGACTATTTAGATCATTTACCCTGGAGAAAATGGATGCTTTGGAGGGTGGACTCTATGGCATTGTTCCCCACTGAGGTCCCTGTTTTCCCCAGGCTCTATCCCCAAATCTCCAGGAGTCTCCCAGCCTGGGTCTGGCTACCCTATACCCCCACCCTCCCGCCAGTGGCTATCTGCTAACCAGCCCTGTAGCTCGCTACACTTGCAGTGCTGTTTTATAGTGGCTCCGTGGGCTAGCCCCCAAAGTAGTGTTTGGCCCTATTTTTTTCCTACAGTGATAATCATTTTCAATATATTTTGTTTGACAAAAAATAGCTGTTCCATAAAGTGAATAAATTAGAATACCGGAGTTTAACTTCATACAGTATCAGGGTATTAGTTCAAACATTAAATAGTATTGGTATAGAATGTAACATGACAGTTCAGTTTAACAACATATTAGAATATTTAAGATTTTATCCAACCATTTTACGTCTACACGTATGTAGTGAAAGATTATAACGATGAGTAAATAACTAAATTAAAAATATGAATTAGCAAATAGCTATTATTTATGGAAATAAAAAAGGCAAAATAATTAGTTATGGTAGTGTAAAGGCCCCAGGCCAAGGGGCCACTCTCCAATCAATGAATCCCCTTCTCTTGGCCACTCCCAATCTCTGCCTTCCTTAACTGACACTTGAGGAGAGCCTTTCTCCCAAGGAGAGCTCAGCAGCAAAGGAATCCTTTCCTCTCCACAGTGAGCTTAGGGTTGCCAAGTCTGTTTTACCTTGCGGCGGGTGGCTCCCGATCGGCGTCCCGAGCGCGTGCGCCGCATGCACGTCAGCTGGATGTGACGTGATGACGCCAGGCACGCCGGGGGTGGGGCCACAGCCATTTGAGGGGAAAACAGAGTTTTCCCCTCAAACATAGAGTTTCCCCCCTCAAACATAGAGTTTCCCCCCTCAAACATAGAGTTCCCCCCTCAAATGGCTGTGGCCCCGCTCCCAGCGTGCCCGGCGTCATCACGTCACATCCGGCTGACGTGCACGCCGGGGTGGGGTTTCCCCCGAGGCCCAATTCCGCAGCGGCGGAAATCGGGCCTCCAGAGCGGGGGAAATCCGCCCCCCAGGGGGACTTGGCAGCCTAAGTGAGCTACAGATGGCTGTCAGTCCTCCTGTCTGGTCCTTATCTACCTATACAGACCCGCCTTTCTCTTCCCTCTGCCCTACAGCTATACAGCTGCCTTTCTTAGGGCAGTACCTAGGGTTGCCAGCTCTGTGTTGGGAAATTCCTGGAGATTTGGTAGGGGGGCTGGGGAAGGTGGAGTTTTGGGAGGGAGCTCAGCAGAGATGTGGTGCCATGGAGTTCTCCCTCAAAAGTTGCCATTTTCTCCAGGGGAGATCTCTGTAGTTGGTAGAGATTAGTTTTTTCTTCTGGGAGAAATGCAGGCCCCACCTGAAGATTGGGAACTCTGACTGTACCCTTACTTCCCCCCCCCCCATTCTTCACTGGAGTCAGGGTATTTTGACCTGTACCAGACCAACTCCAGCCCTTCTTCCCTGAGGCCCTTCTTCCCCTCCCCTTCTCTCCCAGGGTCAGAGTTCACTGGGTTGTAACAGGTAATACGGCTTTGTTATATATTACACTTTATTGTAGTACCATGCAGAGTTTAAATAAATAGTTTTTTCCCCCATGTCCAACTCTTGAGTGCTATATATAAAGTTGACTATGTGCAAAGAAAGGGTTTTGCGAATCAAGGCAGACACTTTGCATTTATATTTATAGATTCAATTCAGTTGTACCCCGCCTTTCTCCACAATGTGGACCCAAGGCAGTTTACAGCATTCTCCTCTCCTCCATTTTATCATTACAACAGCAACCATGTGAGGCAGGTTAGGCTGTGAGAGTGTGATTGGCCCAGGCTCACCCAGCAAGAGCTCCTCTAGGCTAGGATGTTTCGGGATGAATCCCACTTCTCCTGGCCACTCCCAATCTCTGGCACTGCAACCCCATCATCATCCTGAAGTTGATGGCCAATTTTCAGATGGCTGGCTTTATTTTCTGATGAGTTATGAATGCCACAAAAAAGAGAATGTCACCTTCCATTGCAAATAGCACATGCTGCTATTTATTAATTATTATTTTTATCTATTTACATCATTTATAGTCTGCGTTTCTCACTTGGGCTCAAGGCAGATTACATAGTGTGTGAGTGTGTGTGGAGATAACCTTGCGACAATTTTCTGATTCTTATTTCTGTGGTTACCTTGTCTTTCACATCTTTGAAGAAGTGCTTGCCTGATGTATAAATGCTGTAGCTGTTTGAGAAACAAGAAATCGGTCGCGGAAGAGGGCACGAACACTAGTAAGATACATTACGTAGTTCTACCACGTATTTTATTTACTTATTTTGTACATTTTTTATCCTGCCTTCCTTCAAGAGCTTAGGGTAGATAAAAACATAGTTCTTCCTGTCTCTGACTTCCATCCTCCTCACCTCTGGGGGTGGGGGGTACGCAGAGAACACGGCTTGTGAGGAGCATATTAATGTTCTTCCGGATGAATTCTTCCAAGAAAAAATGTCCGCTGCACAACATACTTTTTCCAGTAACAAAATCAGTTGTCTCTTCTAACTGTGTAACTTAGCTGCCACCCCAAGTGATTTTACTTCACCTTGCAACCTCAGACAGAAATGGGGAAGGAAAGTTTTTTGTCCAACACATTTTTGACAATTTTTAATGAATGGGAGGAGGTATGGGGAGACAGAACACATCTTATTGCCAAGGCAGATGGGCTGATGTGCATCCC